TAGATTGTCCCTTGTTACAGGAAGACGTGTTTTTCTCCTTGCTGTGTCTTCGCTCCTCTCTTATCTCACATTCCTCGGGCCAAGGCCATCATAATAAATCTGGTCTCTACAAAAATTTCACACTCTTTCAGTCTTCCAGCTTGGATCCCGCTCCCCCCGCCTCCCTCTGATCTCTCCCTCCCCTCCCCTCCTCACTGTGTTTCCGACTCACCCCCTCCCTGACCCCGCCCCCCTCTGACAGCCACATTGGACCGGCAGCCAGAGGTGCTCATCCCGAGAAAAAAATCCGTGGTTTATACAAAGCACAATGTTTTCTATCCAACTGTCTGTTGTAACCTGTATGTTATTGCTCTCTGCTGTTTATTCTACTGTTTGTCGCATGGCGCCGGAAAAATGGCGCCGTGGCAAGAGCTCTGGTGTGTGTCGTCTCTGTCTGGCGCACACCGGGGTAGTCTTGCACAGTTTTCCAATGTGGTTTTACTGCAAATGGCAAATAAATGAATCTGAATCTGAATGAATTATTTTGTGCCAGCAACGCCACCTGTCATGCGGTGCCTTATCTTTCATGGACCAAAGTGCATAGCTGGCCACTAGAATGAATTATTTTGTGCCAGCAACGCCACCTGCCATGCGGTGCCTTATCTTTCATGGACCAAAGTGCATAGCTGGCCACTAGAATGAATTCTTTTGGGCCAGGGGTTGATACGTCGTTTGTTGGAGTGAGCTCTGATAAAGGCGAGGTCTCAGCCCCATGGGAGTCAGAGCAAATTTCCCAGCCATGGACAAGACAACAGTGTCAGAAGTGGGATTCGAACCCACGCCTCCAGGGGAGACTGCAACCTGAACGCAGCGCCTTAGACCGCTCGGCCATCCTGACGTGGCCGAGTGGTTAAGGCGATGGACTGCTAATCCATTGTGCTCTGCACGTGTGGGTTCGAATCCCATCCTTGTCGGACAAGACCCCTTTCTCAGACTTTTTGGTTCCTCCACCCAAATTTCTGAAACCTAAAAAGTCACCCTTCCATGCATTGGTGGTCCAATGGTAGAATTCCCACCTGCCGGTCAATGCAAGCCCTCTTGGATTTACGTGGATCGTCTGTCTCGAGGCCCGTGGAGAGAACCTCTCCTGTCTTGCAAAAGACAGAAAATCCTGGAAAACCCTTGTTTTACGGTTGGATGAATGGAACAAAAGTTCCCAGAGAAAGATGTTGAGCAAATTGTAATTTGGGGAAAAAACTTCTTTTTTTTTTTGTTTTTTTTTTTTTTTTACTGACTTGGTTTTGTGGCACCCCATTTGTCTGTCGCGACTGTCCATTGAAGACATTGAGGATATATAGCAGGTTTTCTCCTGATTGGGTTTGGAGTTGGCCTGATCTACCGCAACGTGGGAGGGATGTCTACTAGCAGAAATTTAGTATGCAGCCAGCCTTGATGTTTTTTCAACAAACTGAATTTGTCCATTGTGAGAAAATAAAGTATCATCTCTCATCTCTCACCCAGGTGCCACTGGTTCAACTCCCGGTATGGGAAGACCTTTTAGCACAAAAGTCTTTTCATTGCATTTAACCAAGCAACAAAATGAGCTAGCTACATGGTTGCTACCCTTGTGGGAGCGTCCCCGGGTGGGCTCGAACCACCAACCTCTCGGTTAACAGCCGAGCGCGCTGGCCGATTGCGCCACAGAGACCTTCCGCTGCAAAATGTCTAGAGAGGGAAGCAGACTTGTGTGACAGAGTGGTCTTGTTTCATGGGGGTATAGCTGTGACAAATTGGTCTTGTTTCATGGGGCATAGCTTGGGGGTATAGCTCAGTGGTAGAGCATTTGACAGCAGATCAAGAGGTCTCTGGTTCAACTCCAGATGCCCCCTCAGTAGTCTCCCAAAGGCAGATTGAGAGACGATTTTGCGTGGAAATACAGTCGCAGTAGTTGGGTTAGCTTCAAGCCACATCGTCTCTTTGATGTGGAATCAGCTTCATTTATGTTAAGGAAGTTCAGATACGGTCTCCACATTCAAGGCCAGGCTTAAAACACTTTACTTTAATTTAGCATATAATTAGGTAATATATAATATGTAGTGTATATATTATATATATATGCTGTATTATGTTATATATTATGTTATATATTATTCAATAATGTATTGTGTTATGTTGTATATTATGTTATATATTATGCTGTATGTTATTCTTTATTCAAGGCTAGGTTTAAAACAGTCCTCTTTAGTTTAGCATATGGCTAGGAAGGTAAGACTCGGAGAAGGTTAAACTCCTCAGAGTGTTAGTCAAGCTGCATAGGGAGTCAGTTTGCTGGGAGAAGTATGGTAACTTGAGCACTATCCTCTCCTCCTTCCTACTTTATCTGTTTAGCATTTTTAGGATTCTGACTGTAGTTTGTTCATTGCTATTCACCCGTTGTCCCATTGTCTGTTTCATGGTACGATGACGGGATCTCTGAGCCTGGCCTCTTCCATCTACACCTGCGGACTGCCCCGCCCGACCCGCCTGGGAGTGCTTCGGTCCTGCACCGGACCTGTCCACGTTCAGCGTCCACTGGTCCACGTTCTGTAGCTAGCTTAGGTCCTAGATCATTAGTCTGTCCGTCCGGAGGAGCGGATCCCTTTCTCATATGGGTCTCCCTCCCTGTGGGTTTCCCTAGTTCTCCTCCAAGGTTTCTCACTTTTTCCCACTGGGTTTTTTAAGAGTTTTTCCTTGTCGATGCAGGAGGGTCTTGTTGGACAGTTAGTGTCCAACAGAAAGGATTGGTGATGATCAGGACACTTTAGCATTCTACAACATGTATGGACATTTTCTTCTGTGTGTGCTTTATACTGTATTCTTCATGTGTTTTAACTGTTGATTCTCTGACCTGTGTTGGTGATTTCAATGGTTTTGTTAAGTCCTCTGAGATGACTTCTGTTGTGACCTAGGGCTATACAAGAATAAATTGTATTGTATTGTATTGTATTGTATTAATGATGTCCTTAACTCATTCACTGCCCATGACGACAAAAGTCGTTCTATTGTATAGTGACGCTCACTGCCCAAGACGACTTAGACGACTTTTTCGTGTTATTACACGGGAGGCTGCAGTAATGTCTGGCGCACCTTGTTAATGACCCACAACACTGATATATAGTGCAAATGTACCTGTAATGATAAATCACCACCAGTAGGATGCAGTATTGCACCACAGGAGAGGTCATAAGTCAGTGGAGAGGAGGAGGAGGAGTGTGGGAGTGTGAGAGAGCGTGCTGCTGTAGCAGAGCGATGATAGCGTAGCATTGAGACGGATCAGATCTAGTTTAGCGATAGTATAGCAAGAGTGATGGCAAAAAAGAATAGTTATAAGCAGTATACACTGCTTCAGAGATTGACTCGCGGATCAGTGAGTGAGGTCGAGAGGGGAGAGAGGGGAGACCCGGGTGGAGGTCCGTCTCTGCAGCTACATTTGCGCGGAGCAAGAGCCCCGAGCAGAGACACACCTTCCGTCTCTCGCAGCGTATCAGCTGCTGTTGTTACTGATGCCTCGGATTCGTTCAGCAAACCTGATCATGATTTATCGGACACACTCACACGCACTCACTCACTCACTCACGCACACTGACACTCACTCACACAGACACTCACTCACACAGACACTCACTCACACAGACACTCACTCACACACTGACATTCACACACACACACTCAAATTCACATGCTTCATTCTATTTTATACATCTATAGTTTTATTGATCTTTGTGTTGTTGTTGTTTGACGTTTTGGTTGATGGTATAGAAGAAAGTTAAATTTTCTATCTGTGAATAAATTGCCAACAATTTGCCATCAAAAGTATTATTTCAGAGTCATGTTTTTATAATTTTTGTAATGGAACAAGTGTGAAGATGTTTTGAGTTGTCACTAAAGCAGCAAAAATGCATCTAAAGTCTCTTTTCTGCTTGATATGTTCCTGTTTACATACAGCTCGTTTTCTCTGTTTTCTTGCTCAGACCAGGTGTTATGGGTGAAAGTATGCTTTGTTCTATGGCAAATAACGCAAGAACGGTAAGAGGTAGAAACAAACTGTTTTTTTCAGAGTAAAGCAGAGAGGTGAATCTTTAATTTGGTGCCCTTGGTGTTTACATCGTCTAAAAAATGAATATTCTGTGGCACTTCAAAGTTGGGTCAAATCACCTGAAATTGCTGGCAGAATGCACTTCTCAAATCTGAAAATGCCTGGCAGTCAGTGAGTTAACTGTTCGGTGGATCACATCTGCGAGAGTTTGGACCTGAAATCTGCCTTTTTGGGCTTAAATATTTGTTGTTTACTTCCTGTCTCCTGTTGACTGTTTGCCCTGATGTGATCCAACTGCGCACAGGGACAAATGTTTTCAAATCTATTGGGATTTTTATGATTTCAAGACGTACATATCCACACTAACTAACGTACTAACTAATATTTACAAACAAACACATTAACAGCTACATATTTCCATGCTCTTGTCTCTGTTGCAGCCATCGTGGTCCTCTTCATCACGCTCAGACGCAGCAAGAAGGAGCCGCTGATCATCTCGGAGGAGGACGTGCGGGAGAACGTGGTCACCTACGACGACGAGGGCGGCGGCGAGGAGGACACCGAGGCCTTCGACATCATCGCGCTGCGGAACCCGGCCGCCGCGGAGGAACTCAAATTCAGACGGGACGTGAGACCGGACGCCAGGCAGCACCGCAGCGCGCCACGGCGACGCAGCTCCAGCAGTCCGTCCGTGGACCAGGCCGACGTCCACGACTTCATCAAACACAAACTGGTGGAGGCGGACTTGGACACCAGCGGGCCTCCGTACGACTCTCTGCAGACGTACGCCTTCGAGGGGCAGGGGTCGCCGGCGGGGACGATAAGCCCGCTGGATTCTTTCGGCACGCAGTCGGAGCAGGATTACAATTACCTGGACGACTGGGGGCCCGAGTTTCAGAAACTGGCCGAGATCTACGGAGACGCAGATTCGGATGTGACGACCTAAGATCAGAGGCTAAAAGAGTTTCCTGAAGAGCATTGACAGATAAACTGCGTCTCTCGAACTGCTTTGGATGATAACAAACTATTTACTGTCAAACTGAAAACTATTTTTATTTTTTCATTTTTCATTTTGGAGTATTATTATGGGCCGTCTGTGGAAAGTATTGGATCAGATTTTGAAAGAAAAGAGCAACACTATTGGAGATATAAGGGAAATGATATTTTCCTTGGTGTATATTTTTTATTGCTCAATAAAGTCCTGAAATCCATTTGGGTGGATTTGTGCGAAATTGTGCTTTTGTCTTTTTCTATCAACCCTGGATTTACAGCGTGTAGTTAGGGTCGCCACCGGGGGCAGTACCTTCCAATGAGCCCATTCTTCACAGGACGCAAAGGGGATGCTGAGAGCTGGGAGAATATTATTATTATTATTATTTACTTTGGAGAATAGAAGTGAGAAATTCTGAAACGTGAAATACCTAGATATATTGAGATATGGATGGTTTATGGCACACATCCGCATGAGCTGTATCAGCTGTGTCAGACTGCTGCATCCGCAACCCGGCAACAGATAAAGAACATTTATATTTGATTATATAAGCTCACACATTTTATTCAAAGATCATGTGGCTAATATGTGCAGCCAATTCTTAAAATACACATGTTTAATAGAAAGCATGATCCCGGCTCCAAAAGGTCCAGGAGCACGTGCGCTGACATGCTGCAATCTCATTTTGGGCCGGTGGGGGTGTACCCAGAAATAGAATTACCCAATGCTTTTGTACGGCGTGTTCTTTCCTCTGGAAACCTCTTTACAGGATGGTCCAAAAGTTGGTCTTGGTCTTGGGAGTATTTGTTTTTGGACCAGTCTAGTTTAGCCGCTGTGGACCTTTGAATGAATGGGGCTGAAGTAGCCAACACACGCATAAATGCGTTTTTACACATTTTCCTGCCCTACGGCCATTTTGAAAAAGCCCACAGACGGCACATGTGGGAAGTGAAGGCACATGAAGGTGTGACTACATCGGTTAATATTTACAGACTATGAATAAAAGTCATTCATCCTCTTAGGGAAATTTGTCCTCTGCATTTGAGGCCACCAAGGCTTACGTCAGCAGCAGAGGTCGCTGTGGTTACAGCGCCTGAGAATTCATAAGAATTCATAACAATAAAAACTGGTATTTTTGGATTTTGGTTTTACTTTATCCCAGTGGGGAATCTGTCCTCTGCATTGAACCCAGAGCAGAGGAAGTGCAGCAGCAGGGGACCCATCTCTCCCATATGCACTTGGTCATCAACCTCCACTGAAGGATTTGACCTCTGGTGCAGGTAACCGGAGCGCCTGGAGGAAACCCACCCAAACCAAGCACAACATTGGACTCCCCTCTCCACCGCCTGCTGCATCCAACTCAAGTATAAATCCTTTTCTCATAGATTTGGAAATCAATGGTTATTTTTATATTGAATCCTTTTGTGTGTAGGTCTTACACGTTTGCCTTTTGTGTCCTCAGACCATGTGTGCAGCCGCGATGGTCCTCAGGGAGAATCTCAGTCTCAGTTTGAGCGATGGTCGTGTATATTCCATAACGATACAATCAGTAACTTAAGGGAGAACACACCATTATGACTGAAATGAGAGCAAGGGAGGCCCACGGAAACATCAACAATTCATGAGTCTGGAAATGTGTTACGATGAAAATCAATAGGCAAAAAAAAGGGTAAAATGTGTTGTGGAAAGTCAACCGCGAGTGTGAGAGCGTGTAATTAAACACGGAATTGGGTTTAGATAGCCGCAGGAGGAGTTGTAATGATAGACAAATTATTACAAAAATAGAAATGGACAAATGAGAAAAGCAAACAGATAAATATTGGCGATGCACTTGACCTGAGATCAATGAGCTGCTGCAGAAGGAGGAGATACTAAAGGTTCAATCTCCTTCTGTTCTCGGTGCAGTCGCAATCGATGAATGTGAATGTTGGAGATACATCATGGATTTATTTTATATAAATGTTGGATTATTGTGTTGATGATTCCTGGTTTTCACACATGAACACTATGTACTGAACTTAAACTGAACTTAAACCACAATCACTTCATGCAAATAAAAAGCTCCTGGACTTTTAAACCACGAAACAACTAAAAACTTGTCCTTTTTCCTCAAAACCGTTTCGTTCTGTCACTAGTTTTGAACCTGCCTGTAAGTGGGGCCTCTGTCTCATCTCTATTTTTGATATTTTTTATTTAATCTTTAATTTAGACACGTAAAGAGTCTCTATAACACAAAAACACACAACAATAAAACATAAAATATTTATCTGCTTTTTTGAGTGAGAGTGGGCCAGCCGCACTCAGCCAATCAGCTCTCAGCGTCCAAAAGTGACTCTCCAGAATCTTTCTTACACGTTTGCCAAATATATTAAGTTTTCTAATAACATGAGCCTTTTGTCGTCTGATTATTTCACAACATTTTACTTTTACAATATTCTTTCTGTTGGGACAAACAGAAACCAACACGTTAGGTACCCCAGCTTTAAGAAGGACTGAGGTTAACTAAGAAAATTATTCTGTTGAAGTTAAAGTGACCTTTTGTTTTTGATGGAAGTTTATACAAATGGCCACGTGGCATTTTGCTCTTTAGTCGCACACCTCCTGTTTTTGGTGTGAGCGATATCGTCAAAGTGGGCAAGAAAATACAAAAATACCGTACATGAAATGGGTTTTGTGTGTATTAGTTACCACAATTAGTGCCAAATTGTGGTTGTGTCCTTAGGCAAGACACTTCCCCCATTAGAATGAGTCTGGTGTGTCTATGAATGGTTGGTGGTGGTGAGAGGGGCTGATGGCACAGACTGGTTGCCTCGCTTCTGTCAGTGTGCCCCAGGGCAGCTGTGGCTACAGTAGTAGTTTATCACCACCGTGTTTGGAGAGAGAGAATAATGACAAGTGGAGGGTCTTTGAGAGTCCTGCAAAGCGTTGTATAAAACCACTGCATTATTATTATTATCATTATTATTTTGACATTTGATAAAACTAAAGAAGCGAGTTGACAGCGTTTCTTCTAAAAACAGCATTGATTACCTGCAGGCACTGCCCCCTGGTGGACAAAACAATAGCCGCTATAACTCAAATAAATGTATTCTTGTTTCGTCCTAAACCAAAACAGCAGTTATCTCAGAGGACTTCTGAAATGGCCAACACAGATCAGAGAATCAAACCGTTCAAACACAAAGAAAAGAGAACACACAGGTATTGGTCGATTATTTACCCTGGGTGATTCCAAGCATTTATTTGTTCATATATTAATACTTTTTTGATTATATTCGAATTGTAATATCAATAAAAGAATGAAATGAGCTTTAGCCCCTGCACTAATTTAGTCTTTTGTCACCTTTCCACAAAAGGTGACAAGGTCCAAATGCACAGCATCTGCACTTATTACAACAACAAAATACGGCTAAAACAACCGTTTAGGATTCTTGGGAGAAACACTGAATGCGATTACTGCACGGAGGAAACAAATCAACCTTGGACTCCGCATTTGTGTCCCGGGCTTTTTTTCCGCTTGGTCAGCTCCACGCTTCATTAGACCAGAGGGGTCCTGCCGCAGCCCCGTCCCTGGACCGGCCCATTAGCCAGTCCGGATGGCAGAAGTCCAGTAAAAAAAAAATATATATATATAAAAGCTGTCATTTTCACGACTGGATAAAGCTGCAGGCTGTTGTTGCGGATGATACTGCATCGTTATTCCAGAGAGGGATTCGGCGAAGTCTGTCTTTCTCCAACAGGTCAGGACCAGATGAGCCAAAGACACTGCGAAGTCCAAAGAGTCGTCTACAAGAAGTTTTTACTAAATATAATGGTTTCTTTTGGCCTGGAGAGTTTATTTTTCAGAACCAATGAATAATATTTAAGTCTCGAAGCAGCAACTGGGCTAAACTTCTATAGGTTCTTTGTCGGATCCCATATAATTATTATGGAAATCCAGGCAAAGATGAAAAGTTGTTTAGAATAGAAGAGATTGGTTCAGCTTTCCTGGTTTCTTATTCAATCAGCGTGCGTCACGGTAATCCATAATGAAAGAAAACAGGGTACAATAAATATACGATCCAACCTGACAATTAAAGCTAAGGTATGTGGCTTCTTTCCATGCATAATGAATGAATGTATTGATTTTGAGAAAGGATTGGGCTGAAGCTACTTTCTGATGTGACTCCATCCTGACATCACGTCCTGTACAAATCAATAACTACAACTATGTAGAAAATAAAATAAAATACATTTTACAGACTGATCTCAATTCTCTGTGTTTTAGAACATTATCATTTGCTTCTGTCCTGTCAGTCAAAATGAAACATACTTATGACTTCTGAATAGTCATTCCCTTAAAACTAATAGTCCTCATTTCATGGCTTTAGTGTCACACACAAAACTGTTGAACTAGTTCAAAACCAACATCTGTCAAACTCATTTCATACATTCTTTATCTTTTTTTACTGAACATCTTTCAGCTTCACTCACTCACCAAGATCTGACTTTTTTACATTGAAAACACAGAGAGTAAAGTGCTACAATGAAAACACAGAGAGTAAAGTGCTACAATGAAAACACAGAGAGTAAAGTGCTACAATGAAAACACAGAGTGTAAAGTGCTACAATGAAAACACAGAGAGTAAAGTGCTACAATGAAAACACAGAGAGTAAAGTGCTACAATAAAAACACAGAGAGTAAAGTGCTACAATGAAAACACAGAGAGTAAAGTGCTACAATGAAAACACAGAGAGAGTAAAGTGCTACAATGAAAACACAGAGAGTAAAGTGCTACAATGAAAACACAGAGAGTAAAGTGCTACAATGAAAACACAGAGAGTAAAGTGCTACAATGAAAACACAGAGTAAAGTGCTACAATGAAAACACAGACAGTAAAGTGCTACAATGAAAACACAGAGAGTAAAGTGCTACAATGAAAACACAGAGAGTAAAGTGCTACAATGAAAACACAGA